CACTATCCAACGAGCGGAAGAAGGGAAAATTGAAAGGAAGGAGCAGGGGTTCACGGGAAGACAGAGGGGAAGATACAGGGAAGGGATGGGAGGCAGAGACATCTCCATCGATTTGGAGAAGGAGGCGGAGGAACTCGAGTGGGGGCTGAGGCTGGTAGAGGGCGACGGAGGTTTGGGCGAGGAAAGCCAGGCCAGGGAGGGCGGTCGGGCTGGGGATATGGGGATGGGCTCGGGCGGTCGGGCTGGGGATATGGGGAGGGGCTCAGGCGGACGGGCTGGGGAAGTGCAAACAACACTCTCCCTTGGGCCACTGATCCAGGATAATAATGAGGGGGCCCATGGAAATTTTATAAGTGCAGGCTTGTATCAACATGCTGAGGGAGAATTAGAGGAAGAAGCGGGCCGGGCCAAAAAGAAGAGGAAGGGGACTAGCAGGCTTGAGTCGGCTGGATCCTTTAGTTCTGATGGAGCCATTTTTATGGGAGGGCAGGAGGGGGTAAACAGAAAGAAGAAAGGTCAAAGGAGCAAGAAGGGTGCTAAAAAAGGGAGGAGATCAGAAGAGGTGGCGGAGAGTCAGGAAGATGAATCAAGGGCAGCGGTGGTTCGCCAGAAGCCACCTCATCCGGAATGAGTATTGTAAGTTGGAATTGTAGGGGGTTTGGCCCTCCCCTTACAAGAAGTTATGCGAAGCGTCTTTGTAGACGTTTAGGCCATTCTATTGTTTTTCTTATGAAAACTAGCAAGAATGAGGGTTTCATGGAAGAACAAAGAAGAAGTCTCAGAATTTTCCCCAATAGAGAGTATGTTGAACCGGTTAACTCTTCTAGGGGTTTTGCTTTATGGTGGAAAGCGGGTATTAATATTACCGTGTTAAGTAGTGATAGCTACTACATGGATGTTAGTATAGATATGGGTAGGAAATTTTTCTGTACTTTTGTTCATGCACCCTCTACAACTGTTAGTAGAAGGGAATTTTGGGAGCACCTGAGCTCTCTGCGGAGTAGTAGGGATGATAACTGGGTGGTTGTAGGGGATTTTAATGCTGCGATTTATGAGAATGAAAAGGAAGGGAGATGCCCTCTTAGATACGAGAATGTAGAACCTTTTAAGAGGTTCATATTCCAAAATGCTCTTATTGACCTGGGGTACAAAGGGGAGCCCTTCACTTGGACCAACAAGAGAACGGGCCAAAACCTGACGAGAGTGAGATTGGATCGTGTGCTCTGCTCAACGTCCTGGCGAGCCCAATTTGGCAAAGCTGTGGTCTTCCATGAAAAAATGGTGGAGTCTGATCACTGCCTGATCAGACTGGAGCTTCATTATCGGGGAAACAGGAGGAAGAAGACACCCTTTAGGATTGATGAAAGATGGATGGAGAAAGAAGAATGCAAGGAGATAATAGCCCGAGCGTGGGACCCAAGAGGCCAATCAACTGTCCAGCTGAACAAATGTGAAAGAGATTTAAAAGAGTGGGCAAAAGACTTCCATAAGAATAGTATGCAAAGGGAGCAAGAAATACTTTCTAGGCTCGATTTTCTTCAACATCCGCCAAGAACGATTGAGAATGTGGAGGAGGAGAAGCTGCTTACTATTGAACTGACTAAGCTATGGAGGGATGAAGAAGCATTCTGGAGCCAATGCTCGAGAGTTAACTGGCTACAAAAAGGTGATCAGAATACTTCTTTCTTTCACTCAAGCACTATCTTTAGAAAGCATAGAAACAGAATCCTGAAACTCAAAGATGGACAAGGAAATTGGATTGAAGATGAGAATAGTCTCAAAAGACTAGCAGAAGAGTTTTACATGGATCTTTTTAAGGCTAGGAATCCGATTCCTTTTAACCATCTGTTGGAAGGTTTCCCTGAAAAAGTGACTACGGAGATGAACGAAGATCTATGTGCTACGGTGACTGATGGGGAGATTAGAAAAGCGGTTTTCTCTCTGGGTGCACGCAAAGCTCCTGGTCCTGATGGATTCTCAGGAAGATTTTATAGGAGATACTGGGATATCTTAGGAGACACCTTGTGTCGAGAAGTTAGAGGATTCTTTGAAACGGCTACAATGCCGGCGGGATGGAATGAGACTCATATTGTAATGATTCCCAAGGTCGATAACCCCGAGCAGATAAGCCAATTTTGACCTATTAGCTGCTGTAATTTTAGATACAAGATCATATCTAAGATTATGGCAACGCGCCTCAAGAGATGGACTCCCGAGCTGGTTTCAGAGCTCCAAACAGCATTCACCGGAGGTAGGCTTATCCAAGATAATGTCATCATTGTACATGAAGCCCTTCATCATTTCAAGAACCATAAATTGGGTAGGAGGAGAGATATGATGTTGAAATTGGACATGAAAAAGGCATATGATATGGTGGATTGGGATTGTCTGGAGGCTCTTCTCAAGAAGTATGGGTTTGACAGTAAATGGTGTGGGTGGGTAAGTGCTTGCATTAGAATAGTCAGCTTCTCTATTCTTTTCAATGGAGAAGCAACTGACTCCTTCAGGCCTTCCCGAGGAATTCGTCAGGGAGACCCACTCTCACCATTCTTATTCATTCTCATGTCAAACGCCCTCACCTTCTTGATTGATAAGGCAGTGGCAAACGATTGTCTGAAGGGGATTAAGCTGAACGCTAGATGCCCAGTGCTCACCCACTGCCTCTTTGCAGACGACACAGTCATTTTCGGCAAGGCAGATCACCAAGAAGCGCAGAATATTATCAATCTCATTGGGGAGTATGGAGCTATCATAGGTCAAGAGGTTAATACGAACAAATCTTCAGTCTTCTTTAGTGCCAATGTCCCCAGCGACGTCAAAGATCAGATCATAGCGAGCATTGGTTTCGCTTCCTCGAATTGCCACTCTAAGTATCTTGGGGTCCCGACGGAATGGGGAAACTCGAAGAAAGAAACTTTTATTTTCCTCATTCAAAGAATGGAAAAAATGGGGGAAGCTTGGAAAATTCTCCTACTCTCTCACGGTGGAAAAGAAATCCTACTGAAAGCGGTTATTCAAGCCATTCCATCGTATATTATGTGCCTGTTCTATCTCCCTAAGATACTCACTAAGAGAATGGACTCTCTTCTCAGCAACTTCTTTTGGTCAGGGTCTATGCAGAAGAATAGCCTCCACTAGTGTAGGAAGGAAATTCTATGCCTGCCTAAGTATGAGGGAGGTTTGGGCTTCAGGAGCTTCAATGATTTTAACCTTGCCCTACTTGCTAAGCAGGCTTGGCGCCTCCTCACGCCCCCTGAGTCATTGTGGAGCCGTCTCCTGAAAGGTTTGTACTTCCCTAGAGGTGATTTTCTTAATGCAAAAAAAGGGAGCAAATCTTCATGGATCTGGGCTAGTCTTTGGGAGGCAAAAAAGGTGATTGGTTTGGGTGCAGTTAGAGTGATCGGATCAGGTGATGAGACGTGGGTCGATCGAGACCCTTGGATCCCTACTTTGGACAATAATGCTCTCAGAAAGGGCCCCCAGAATCATCAAAAGGTCAACGATGTCCGATGTTATCCAGGGGCATGTGTCTAGCTCAGAACTCGAAGCTATCCTTAGGATTCCAATCGGGGAGGATGGAGCTGAGGACTTTTGGGCATGGAACTACAATGAAGAGGGAAAATTTACGGTGAAGTCTGCGTACCATACGATTCACAGAGCCAACACCAATCCGCAACCTAGCGGGAATACAGAAAAATGGAAGTGGATATGGAGCCTTCACATCCCCCCTAAGTTGAAATTCTTTGTCTGGAGATGCTCCAGGAATGGGTTAGCTACGAAAGAGAGACTGCTCTAGAGGAAGTGTGCTCCCAATTCGTCTTGTCAGGTGTGCCAGAACCCCGTCGAATCCATCAATCACTGCTTGTTCCATTGCCCCCATGCCAAGGCGGCATGGAATGCTCTGCTTCCGTCTCTCCCTTTACCTCCTCAGGGAACCTTGTTCTTTGACTGGTTCTGCTCCCTTAAGGATGTTATTCAGCATAGCTCCTTGATCCATATTGTTTTCCTTTGTTGGAACATCTGGAAGGCGAGGAACGAATGCTTCTTCAAGAGTAGAATTCCGTGGCCTCCGAGGGTGTGCCAATTTACTTATAAAGAGCTCTCTGAATGGAATTCGTGCCCGAGGTCCCCACCTCCCCTGCCCTCCCTTCCCACTCAGCTCAGGGGAACCCAGTCTCATACGAATCCACCGCCAAGTAATCAGTCTTTGGTGATTCACTGTGATGGGTCGTTCATTAGCGACTCCCAGTCGGCGGCATATGGTGTTGTGGTCGTTAACCACCATGGACAAGTGTGTGATGGGAGAGCTGAGAATCTTCTTTGTTCCACCCCGATTGAAGCAGAAACTAAGGCCCTTCTCGAAGGAGTGAAATTAGCTCAAGAATATGGATCTGAATGTACGGTTCAATCCGACTGTCAGGTGTTGGTGAAAGCTTTGGATAATGATCGCTCTCGATGGCCATGGAGGTGTGCAGCATGGATCGGATCGATTGTTTCTATCCTTCGGACAAACCCTCTCATCAATATCAAAGAAGTGCCCCGAACACTTAATGTCAGAGCAGATTGGGTAGCACGATCAAAAGCTCGAGCATCGCTTCCTGATAATTGGATTAATATTCTTGATCTCATTTCTGATCTTCTCTAAATGTTGTAACCGAGTTTCTCGTCTTTCAGTTTATTGGTGGAATAAAAGTTGGTAATCTTTGTAAAAAAAAAAAAAAAAGAGAAAGGAACACGGTTACAGTTCCTAAAAGGAGAAAGAAAAAAGCCGCCAAATTACCCAGCCAACTCACCTCCCGTGAATCACTCTAAGGCTGAGATTTTTAATGGTGATAGGAATTTTATGTTCCACTATAAATCATACGGTAGATTAGCCCACGAGCTCAAAGCCCAGCAGCGGCTGCGTGCGGCCTACAGAACTGTGGGAAGTTGGGCCTTAGCTTATGAATTCTTCACCTTTGGCAATGGAAAACCCTAAAACCCCGCGTTGGTCTATAAATTAAAATGAATCCAGGCCATAAACTGACAAACATAAACTAGTGGGTGGGGCGGTCCCTTCGTCAAAGAGGTCCTAGCAAAATTAGGAGGTTCGAGAAGGTAACGAACAGGCGGGAGTCGAGTTCTTGAGGAGGTAGATCGATCTGAAGACTGCTGTCTGTCATCCTTTAATTTCTTCTCTTCTTTCTGTATGATATGATAATCTGCTTGTCCGTCTATTTTAGCGATCTTTGAAATTCGTTTATCTAGGTTTTCGTCGTAGGTAGGGGCTTGTTTGTATTTGTTTAGTCTGACTCCCGATCTGTCTCGATTATCTTCAGACTTCGTTGTCCAGTATCGAAGAACAATGGCGGGTGGAAATTTCATGCACAGGGTGCTTTCCTATGTGGTGAATGAGCTTATCGTCAACGGTTTAGCCAACAGGTATAATTCTTGCTTGGATAATCCTCCTCGTCGACTAGGGTTTTCACCCTTGAGCATTGATCTCTTCCGTTAGCCTTGCACGTCGTTTTTTCTTGCTTCTTGCTGTTTTGTTTTGCTCTGCCGCTGTAAAGTACTGTTCTATCTGGAAAAAGCTTCTATCTCTGACCATCTGGAATGACGCGTTCCTCGTTGGTTCGTTCATCTGAAGCGAAAGTGTCTCTCAGCTTCTATAATCTCTATCCCGTGGTGTGTCATAATATATGCACTATGGGCTTGGAAGTTACTGAGAACATAGGCATCTCGATTTTGCTACTCGTTTAGTTGTTACGGTTTAATGACTTGATCATTAGACCCTTCACTACTAGGCTGTCGATATAATGATTCAAACCCCGAGCGGTTTGCTCCATGAAGCAGAAATGGTTTGAATCTACCAACTGGGAGTTGCAGGGCAATGTTGTCCTTGCAGCTCTGAAGTTCTGAAATAATTTTTGACATAGGTTGGGTAATGCTTTATCCTGTTGTGTGCGGTTCGTTTTCTCCTCGTTGCCTATGATGACAATGTGACCTTGAGATGGCAGAAATGACTGCTTAATTGAAATCATCAAATCTGAGGCCTACCCATGTGATTCATTTATAGAGTTCGGTAGTAGACATGCCATATCATTTACTCCTCCTGGTGTCAAATATTGCGTAGTTAGAATAGTAGTACTGTTGAGTTATTGGGTTGATTGATACGTTTTGTTCCATCATACAATTCCCAGGGCCTGATTCTAAGTTATTTGGAAAATCTTTATTAAAGTATAGATGTATGATATTTTGTTTTGGATGGTTGCAGCCCTTCGTTTCAGAGGTTTGCTGTGAGGACATCAAAGAGGTTGGAGGATGTTTCAAGTCTTGGTGCGTCTCTTTTTTTCCTTACATTTTATATCACGTGTTTATCTTCTGGTTGTGGACTTGTGGTCTTATACTGTTTGTGAATGTGTGTGTCTCAGCCGGGAAGACTAAACAAGAACTTGCTGAACGTATGAGGAATGTAACCGATGTAAGATTGCTTGTACTGGTTTTTAGCTGCTCAGTACTTATTGGTGTGTTGATGATGATGATGAGCAACTAACTGTTTTCGTGCTTCACTGCAGAATTTCAAGAAATAGTAATAGAGACTCTTGATGGTCACTGCAGAATTTCAAAAACTAGTAATGGAGACTCTTGATGGTGAAAATCGCAGAGATGTAAATTTGTTTTGCCCTGTGACGGGAACAGCGGAAAGAGTTATTAAGTAGATAATGATGAATAATGGCTTGAGGCTTGTTGTAGCCTTTCGTTTTTCTTTGGTTTAGTGGGCATATTTGTTTGTACTGTAAATAATGGATTCATATTTCTGGTTTTGAACCAATAAAGCATATCCGAAAGAGATGATGTTGTCCACTGAGCCTTTCTGTATCAACTGAACTCTACTCTATCGACAATCTGGTGTCAGTGATTTCGTGTATAAATAAAATTGCTAAACAACGCCCTATCTTGATATGTAAATCAGTATTGTTCATTTTAAAATTTTGAACAAACAACCCAGACTCTAAAACTAACTCCAACTAACTCCAACCCAAAAGGTTATATTTAGCCTCTCAAACTCTCAAATGTGCATTTTTACCTTCCCAAAACACTTTTTTCTCCAACCCTAAACCTTCTAAATTTGTCTTCCCAACTCATAACCAATCAATCAAAAATTAAGAAAGTAAAAATAAAAAAAGAAGATGCTGGAAAGTGGAGGGCCCCAGCGTGTGGGCTTGGGTTCCATGGTTGGTCCCATCCTTGCATTTTTCCATATCAGCTTCTATCTATCCACCTCCAAGTCCACTTCTCCAAATTTGCAAGCCAAATAATTGGTGGGTTGGAGATGAAAAAAAGTCAAAAACCCCTCTTTCTCCAAATTTGCATGCTTGGGTTGGAGACAAGCATATCAACCCATTTTAAGGATTGTAATAGCTTGCACAAATGCAATTAAGACTTTCATTCATGCAATTAAAAATGTAATTGCATCATTGCCAAATCAGTTTGCAATTTAATATGAAAGTTTGATGTGGATACTCTAAGAGCATCTACATTGGTGCAATTGTAAATTTAATTGAATAAATAACTTTTTTGCCACATCATTAATTTATGCAATCCAACTCATTTCAATTTTATTGCACCTACACCAATGCAATTCACTTGCAATTGCACTTGAAACTCATTTAAATGTATACTAAAATAAAATGTATGGCTATAAAATAAATTTTAAAGTAACTATTTTTACAAATAAAATAATTACTTCAACAAATATATATAATTTACACGTTCTCCATGGAAATTATTCAAAAATTCCAATAAAATTAAATCTATGGCAACAATGCGCACACGATGGCAATGGAATTATAAAAGAAAAAAAAACCAACAAATGATAAAGTTTTCCAGCGTGTCTTGCATTGAGGATTGCAACAAATAAAAGCTTTCATATTTGAAAACGAAAATTTCGATGTAATTTTTTTAAATTTCGGGACACTTTTTTTTTTGGAAAATTCGCCGTTAATTTGTTACCGTTAAACTTTGGGACCATTCCAAAATATGATCGTTTTTTTTTAGCCGTTACTTTATGATCGTTTTTTGTGATTTTGTGAACCATATGTCATTATAAATGATAGTTTTTCATTTTTCGTCAACTTATCTGAAACTTCTTCCCATTTCTAAAACAAACACATTCATCATGAAGTATCTTAGATAGCTCATCGTCTGGAGGAGAAGAAGAAACCGAAGATTATGAAAGGTTTCACCACCTATGTTTGAGTTTGATCGGTCGGAGGCTGGCTGAAGGTTCGTCAAGTGCTCAAGTCGTCCTCAAACTACAACCCGACCTCACATTGATCGTGAAAGGGTCGAATGTAATCGACGTTTTATGAGGGTTTATTTTGATCCAAATTTTGTATACAATGCTCGCATATTCAGTAGGCGCTGTCGGATGCAGCCAAGATTATTCCATCGCATTATGGGCGACATTCTGAGGTTTGACCCCTCATATCCTCTAAGGCGTGATAGCTTTGGTCAATTATCACTATCTCCAGAGCAGAAGCTTACTGGTGCGATGCACATGCTAGCATATTGTTCTCCAACTGATCAACTTGATGATTATGTTCGTATGGGTGAAAGCACCTTGATGGACGTCTTCAGAAAGTTTTGCAACAACATTATCAACATGTACGGGGCCACATGTCTTCGTGCACCTACTCCTGCTGATTAAAGGATCTTACTCCGTAAAGCCTCAAGTCGTGGCTTTCCTAGAATGACTGGATCAATTGACTGCATGCATTGAGAATGGAGGAATTGTCCAAGTGGCTGGGCAAGACAATAAATGCATAGGCCGACAATCATTCTAGAGGCGGTGGCCTCCTACAACATATGATTATGGCACCAGTGTTATAGGGATGTCACCAGTGTTTGATCGTATCGTCAATGGAAGCGCTCCACATGTACAATTTGAGGTAAATGGTCATGCTTACGAGCAATGTTATTATTTGGCTGACGGTATTTATCCCTCATGGTCGACTTTAGTGAAGACCTTCAACAATCCAAGGTCAAACAAAGAGGCTTTGTTTGCTCGACATCAAGAAGCACACCGCAAAGACGTAGAGCGGGAACAACAAATCATGCACTTCGAAATGACTTAGTTGAGCATCTTTGGAATTCGCATGGAAATAACTAGTCTTGTTTAATTATGGATTGTATTACATATTTCAATATTAATTTTACTTCATGTTGCTTGGTAGTTTGTATTTCAAATTTCGGTATGTGATTGTATTTCATGTTTCAATAAAGTGTGTCTTGTAGTTAGTCCAAAGATTCAATAACACTAGTTTTTATTACACATGAAAATGCTAAAAGTTCAAAGAGTACCATAGCACATGAAAACAACAAAGTTCAAAGACAATACACAACACATTAGAGCAATAAAGACAATAAAGCACACATAGGACCTTCTTCTAATTATAATCTATGACAGGAAAGTAATCACCTCCACTTTCATCTCCATCTCCTCCACCACTTGCATCTCCATCTCCGCCATCACTTGGATTAGAGATGTGATTTTGTTTACGCTTCCAAAATCTCTTCTTTCTTGGTGTCATCTTTGATAAATCCTTCTCTAGAATAACTATATTTTGTTGAAGTATTGCGGCTTCCCTCTCTTTCTTCTCGACAACCCACTTTTCCGCTTCACACTCCCTCACTTGCCTCTTGTATTCCCATTCCTCGGCTTCCCTCTCTAGTCTCCTCTCTTGAACATTTATTTTTCTATTTTCGTACTCCATCCTCGAATTTGGCCTCTCTCTCATATCATTACCAAACTCTAGCAGTTGAGTAGTGTACATGTCTGACGATTCAGCAACTACCTTACCTTTCTTCTTTGCTTCCTTTTGTTTGTCGTGTCCTTCAGGGCGAAACAACACAAAAGGCGTAGCTCCCTCGTATGGTATGTCGTTGAGGCCTTCCACTGAGGAGGATTGAGAACCAATACCTATGAGAGAACTTTGAGAGCCTTGGCCCATAGGTGAAATAGGACCGATAACTAGTTCTGGGTCACAATACCACTTTGGGCAAGTTCGAAAGATGACCCAACAATGCTCATAAGGAAAGGCTTGTTCTTATTCTCTTCCTTATATATTAATCTTGCTACAAATTCCTATTAAAATTGTTAATACACAAGTTAGAGAAGTAAATATACATAAAAATAAGAAATACAAAATTTAAAGTTTCCAAAAAAATACCACATTAACTTGGTGCCGCTCGATTGATGTCTCTCCGCCCTCTGCAAAATTCCTTTCCAGGCATTACACTTGGCACTGATAAGCCTCATTCGCGATTCAATTGAATCCTTAGTACGAGTTGTTGTAGGATCGCGTCTTTGATGTTCCAACGCCACCTTATCCCAAAATCTCGTGCTCTTTTGATTGATGCCAACCGCTCCATCTTTCGATACCGATATCCAATATTTGCACAAGATTTCATCTTCATTAGCTCTCCAATTGGCTCCTCTCTTGCTCGACATGATTTCACTTTCAAAGATGATAAATAGATGAGATTGAGAGAATTTGATTTAAGGTTTGAGAATGAGTGCAGAAAAAACCTTGAGAAGTTACTCAATAGATAGAAAAAAATATGACCGTTTTATAGCCGTTAAAATGTGTCCGTTGCAATGTGACCGTTTTCTTGTCACTATATTATCTCTTCTTTCAAACTAAAAACCAAACAAACCAATCTGAAAAATGAAGAAAAAGTTATAAAAAAAACTGCAGCAGATGGAGGCCCCGCGTGCAGGTAAAGCCCATACGCTGAGGCGGAGGCTAGGCCGCACGCGCTGGGCACACGCGGGGCCACTTCCCTTGGATTCCATTTATGACTTTCCATCTACTTTTTCTGCTATCTATCCACCCCCAAATCCCATTTTCCAAATTTGCATCCCCATTTTTTATTGGGTTGGAGATCAGAAAAGGGAAAAAAACCTACTTCTCCAAATTTAGCCGGCAGGGTTGGAGACAACCTAACAAACAACCTATAAATGTGCTATTTTTTCTCACCGCTGCCAGTGAGGAAATTTGGCGCTCTCCCTCTGACAACCAACCAATCTTGTGTCTCTCCCTCTACAAATTTGGTCACCGGATAGAAAAATTTGTAGCCACCATCCTTGGTCAAAAGGGAATTCAATGATGTGGTTTTCGATTTGAAGATCCAATTGATCGTCTCGGTGGATCTTGCCAAAGAAGAGGGGCGTTGAGTGGAGAAGAACAAAATCGTTCATCCGCCTCCGGTTCTCTCTGTGCGTTGCAGCACTAACCGTTGTGCTGCCGCTCCAACCTGCCGGATATTTAATTTTTTTATGAGAAATGATTTTATTTTAGTTTATGAATGGTGTGTTTGTTGGATGCAAACTATAGAAGGAAAGATACAATGGTAAGATAGTAACTTTAATACTTGTTAGGATGAGAAATGATTTTAAATTTTTTATGAGAAATGATTTTATTTTATTTTATGAATGGTGTGTTTGTTGGATGCAAACTATAGAAGGAAAGATACAATGGTAAGATAGTAATTTTAATAATTGTTAGGATGATATTTAGTAATTTTTAGGACGACGTTTAGAAAACCCCATAAATTAGTATTCATGTATGTTGGACTGAAAATTTCCAGAACTGATGATGGGGTCATTTAACGAAGGTTTAGGGGGAGGATTGTGCTCCAAATCCAATAGCCAGCTTATTTGCTAAAAACATCTACCAAAATGGTTAGTTTAGCGTTTGTGATTGATACTAGTCATACCCTGATCAGTTGGTCTGATTCAGTCGTCAATCACGAAAACAGCACTATCAAATTTTATGTGAGATACACATATTTCTATAGTATAAGAAAAACTAAATTACTAAAATACTCGAAGCATTCAAATTGGTAGAATAATCTAAATTATTAAAGTACTTCAACAATTCAAAATGATTAATATC